CYYYWGGRAWYCCATCCCAGCATCTTCCSACTCTCACAGCCAGGAATTCCTCCCCAATATCCCATCCAAACCCACTCTYCGCCAGCTGAAATCCCTTYYGTAGGGAGGAGGCAGCGTGAGGAGCTCGGAGCTGGGCCGCCCTCCCTTCCCGGGGCAGAAATTCCCGGTTTTATCAGCATTTGGCTCTTTGTTCTGTGTCTGAGAGAGAGCAAATTCCATCCCGCCTCTCCCCGCAGCACGGGACGGCCCCGAGGGCCGGGATCTGCTCGGGATGAGGGAAGGAATCGCCTTTCCGTGGAAATAAAACCCCCAGCGCCCCGCTCGGGCTCCCCGCAGCCCCGCAGCCAAGCCAAGCCAAGCCACGATCGTGCTCCAGCCGGGCCGATTGGAATGATCCCATGATTTTCCGATTCATTATTTACGATTCAAATCGCGGCTCCCATCCCAGTTTTGCCGTTTCCCTCTTCCCATCTGCTCTGATCCCTTTTAGTCCCCGCCTTTTCCCCTWGTGTCCAGAACCTCTCCAGAACCTCCTTCCCCCGGTTTTTGTTCCCAAAACTCAGTGGGAGCAGCGACGGTGGGATGTGCTGAGCTGCCGGGGGTGCTCCCGGGGAGCGCATAGAGTGAGATGCTGCTGCTTTCCCGTTTTCCCGTTTTCAATCCGGCCTCAAGCCCATCCCGTGCTTTACCCGGGTTAAAAATCAGGGATGTGGAGCCAGGAGCAGCTCCAGGTCTGACAAAGACGCGCGGGAGGAACAGGAATTTCTCCGAGCGCTGACTCGGAATCATTTTGCAGCTCGAGGCTGGATGAGATAATCCCCCGGATCCCGTTTTCCGTGTTCCCGGTTGCTTTGTCACCGCAGTGCCACCCGCAGATTGTCCCCGAGGGGCGGCTGCTCCCAGAGCCACGACCCTCACGGTCCTGGATCCGACCCCAGGTCCTTATCCCGGATCCCACCCCCAACTGTGGATCCTCTATCTGACCCCGATCTCCCGATCCCAAATCCGACCCCGAGCTCCCAATTCTAGATCCGACCCCAATCTCCTGATCCTGGATCCGACCCCGATCTCCTGATCCTGGATCCGACCTTGAGCTCCCGATTCTGGATCCGATCCCGAGCTTCTGATCCTCAATCTGACCCTGAACTGTGGATCCTGGATCTGACCCCGAGCTCCTGATCCTGAATCTGACCCTGAACTGTGGATCCTGGATCTGACCCCGAGCTCCCAATTCTGGATCCGACCCCGAGTTCCTGATCCTGAATCTGACCCTGAACTGTGGATCCTGGATCCGACCCCAAGTTGTGGATCCTGGATCTGATCCCCATTTCTCGATCCTAAATCCGACCCTGAGTTCCTTATCCCGGATCCGACCCCAAACTGTGGATTCTGGATCTGACCCTGAGCTCCTTATCCCGGATCCAACCCCAAACTCCCAACCCCGGATCTGACCCCGAGCTTCTGATCCTGGACCTGACCTGAACTGTGGATCCTGTATCCGACCCCGAGTTCCTTATCCCGGATCCGACCCCAAACTGTGGATTCTGGATCCCACCCCCATCTCCCGACCCTGGATCCAACCTCAAGGTCCCAATCCTGGATCCAACCCCAAGTTCCCGATCCCGGATCCCACCCCCATCTCCCGATCCCGGTTCCCACCCCAAGTTCCCGATCCCGGATCCMACCCCCAGCTCCCCCAAATTCTGGGAACACTCTGCACTGGATATCGAGCCCCGCTCTGCTCCCTCATTAGGGAAAGGCCATCGGGAGCTGTTTTTCCCCTCTTCCCGGGTATTTTGACAGCCGCTCGAAAGCCTTCTGCCGTCCTGAAAGGGGATCTGTCACCGCCGCTAATGGAGGCTGTCACCGATCCCTCCGGGAGCGATGGAAATCACCGCATCATCCCTGCAGCCCGAGTGGGCAGAATCAGGGAGATTTTGGGGAGTTCTGAGCCTTTGAAGCAGCACCCCCAGCTCTGACCGTGACCCTGCACCCTTCGCAGGGTGATTCCAGCCGGATTTTTGGGGAGCCAGAGGCGGATTTTGKCAGGAGAGGCCGCATCCAGCGCGATCCATTAGCGGGATAAATCAGTGTAATCGCATCTCCCGCTCTCAGCCACCAGAGGAGCGTTCGGGATTAAATGGGGCAGCTCCTTCTGCCGCATCATTCCCGAGGGAAAGATCGCTCCGGGAGGGTGGGCCGGCCTGGAATTCCGCTTTTATCCGGGTTGGCGGCTCGTGCTGGAAAGGGCAGGCGTGTGATGTTCCCTGGATGCTGACCCTCAGAACCTTCCTGAAATCGGGGACATCGCGTCCGTCCCGGCGCAGCGGGGTCGGGGAGGTACAAACGGGCTCCTGGTCACGGGTTTGTCCTCCTGGAAACCTGCCCGCGCTCAGGGATGGATGGAAGGGCAAACTGTGGGTTCTGCTGTCCCAGAGATCTTTTGGGGTTGGAGCTGTCGGAGGCTCCAGGTCCTGCGGGGATTCTGGGCAGCCCCAAACCCGCCCTGAGCAGTGAAGGCTCCAAATGAGGACCCAAAGAGAAGTTTGGGGCGTTTGGGGTGGAGCTCTACCCCAAGGCTCAGTAGTCACCCCATAAAACCCAAACTGCAGTTTAGGGGTCACGCCCTGATGCCCAGGGGTGCTGTGGGCGTTGCTCCTGTCCCCAAGATGTGTCCCCAAAACACTTCTGGAGGGTTCCATGTCCCTCTCTCCTGCCCAGGGGGGTTTGGGTMGCCCTTGGAGTGAGGGAAAACCCCCAAAAGCTCTTTCCTCTGCTTGCTGAGGATGGGGAACAGCGGGAGCCACCAGCAGCACCCTCCTGTCCCTGTCCTTGTCCCTGTCCCTGTCCCCATCCCTGTCCCCATCCCTGATCCCGTCCCTGTCCCTGTCCCATCGTGTCACCTCTCCCAGGGCGGGATCACATCTCCTTGCCCTGTGCTCCCAGGGGACAGAGAGGGGACAGAAGGGACTGGCGAGAGGGGACAAGAGGGGACAGAGAAGGGACAGAGAGGAGACAACGGGAGGGGACAAGAGGGGACAGAGAGGGGATGAAGAGGGGACAGATGGGAGAGGACAGAGAGGGGAGAGAGGCGAGT